TCGAGGTTGCTCGCAGTGATTACCGTGGGGTTCAGGGCGTTAGAGAAGATACTTCGGTGCAAGGATAGCGCGGGATGTGCACCTACAGAGCCCAAGAGGCTATGGGCCAATACTTGAGCCCTCTCCTACCTCGTATGTACCACATGTTCGGTTGGGTTTGTTTCTTCAGCTAAGCTTGCGCAGATCTGCATCGTAGATGATGGTTTAAGGCAAAGAACGTTGAGACGAAAGGGGATCTTCGCTGAGCTCGACCATGAGAAGCTGACGACCCTAGAGCTAATGATGGCTACCTGCAGCCCATTGGACTAGCAATACCTCAACCATGGAGAGCAAATCCGAAGCGATATGGCAGAGGGAAACGACTACGTCAACGTGGTGTACCATCTACATGCTGACAAGCGCAGAACGGGGTAACCAATCTACCTACTGTGAACGAGGTTGGTGCCGTAGTGGTCGAAGATGGAAACTTTAATAAGTATCGGGATCTGCAGCTGTACACCAAGCCGCACGGAATCTTGCGTATTTTCGAGACCTACACGATGAATGCCCCGCTACAGAATCCGCTGCTATTCTCGATTGGGAGAGCACGGTTGGAAAATTTACGGATACCTACACCAACGGACAATAATACAGAGAAAAAAAACAAAAGATGTCTCTGCGAGAGATTATTGCGTATCAACTATTTCCAAAAGATGACAATGGGGCCGCTTTATAACACGATGGTCGGCTCTGCCAGCAGTGGTGTGTCGCCCAACAAGCTAAAGTGAAGCAGCTTTTTTTGTGGTGGGTTACCGACAAGCAAGAGACGCTTCGGGTGGAGCTCTTCATCGGTGTTGCAGACGCATATCTGGATGAGACTACCTTGGTTTTAGGCGAGGGCGGGGGCTCATTTCCAAGTACAATCGAGAAGCTCGCCGATTAGAAACCCCAGGGTCTTCTTAGACTACGGAACATCATTTCTTATGGCGCGTTGGCAAGAAAATCATTCTCCCAGCGACATTCGCTGGTGGGCCGAGGCAGAGGTACAATTCATATCAGGCCTCAATGGCGATCGCTCGCAAATTTGGAAAACCGGATATATTTTTAACGATAACGTGCAATACAGAGTGGGGGGAGATTGCCAACGGGATTCCTGATGGCTATAGTGCACAGGATCGTTCTGATTTAACTGCGCGGATTTGGCAGCTAAAACTCCGCGCCCTATTGAAGGATTTGGATGAGGGAGCACTCGGCCGCGTCCAAGCTCGCAGTTTTACGTTGTTGAATTCCAAAAGCGATCCTCTCTCACGTTCATACCTTGATCATTTTGGCGGACGAAGCCAAACCACGGACACGAGATAATGTCGACAAAAAAGCATCTGCAGTGATTCCCGACGAAGTTGGCAACCCAGATCTGTATATGATAGTGATGACGTGCATGATGCATTTTTCATGTGGACACCTCAATCCCCAGTGCGCATGTATGAAGGGAGGCAAGTGCTCCAAGGAATCCCCGAACCCTTTGGCTGCGATTACCCGAGCAAGTGTTGGTGAGTATCCGGTGTACAGGCGTCGCCGTCGGTCGGAGGATGTGTTAAAATTGCGAGGCCGGGAATATGGTAATGCGACGGCGAGCCGGTGGGTTGTACCTTACAACCCGTACTACTCGCAGAAGTATAGCTGTCACATTAACGTGGCGATTGTACGGCTATCACGGATGTGAAGAATCTATACAGCTATGTGGGTAAGGGTTCCGACACGGTAGTACTCACGGTTGAAGCCGTGATGGGGATGGTGAGCAGAAAAACTGAAGGGTAGACTGCGCGACAAGATAAATGAGGTGTTGCGCGATCCCAATGCACGATACATGTCTCCTGTTGCTTGCATGCGGCTTCTGGACTTTTCCGCTTGAGGGAAGAGTCATTCCGTCGCGCAGCTCACAGTGCATCTGAAAGAGAGGCAGATGGATGCCTTTCAGTCTAACGACCGACCTGAGCCCGTTCTTGTGAATGGCGAGCACACGAGGCTTATTCGATTCTTCAATTTGTGTGCCAGCGATGCCCCAAAAATCAAATCGCAAAAACATTGCTTTACCAGGAGATACCGAAAAATTCAGTTGGAAGGATAAACAATGGACCCGCCGTACCAAATTCCAAGCATCGCTCGGAATCGGAAAATAAATTCAGGTGTCGATACGGGATGCTGAGCGATTTTGCCTTCGCGTGATGCTATGTCATCGCAGAGGTCCTACTTCATTCGAAGATTTAGGGACGGTAGGTGGCGTTGTTCACCAGAAATATGAGACATCCGCTCTGCATGCCGGCTACCTTCAAAATGACGAGGAATTGGTTGCGTGTATGACCGAGGCGTCAGCATACAAAATGCCCTACCATCTTCGCCAGTTGTTTGCTACGCTTTTGGTGTACTTAGTGCCTACGAATTTTGTCGGTTTGTGGGATAAGTTTTACAAGGATTTGTCTGAGGACTTTCTACACAGATACCGCAGCATGCTCGATCCAATTCAGGGCAGTTGCTATGTCCGAGACGCTGAAAAGTATTAGCGACCTTTTGCGAGTTAGCGGGTACGCTATACAGGATTTTGATCTTCCTCAACTTAGCGATCATCCATGATTAGTACTCCAGACTCTTCAGGACAATTCGCTAATTCGCCACAAGCTAACAGGATAATGCTACATTAAAGGCAATCGTGCGCGCTGAAAGTCGCCTCAATGCTGGGCAACAAGCAATCTATGATAAAATCACAGCCGCAGTAAGCGATCCGGTATTTTTTTTCGTGAAATATTCGTGCAACATTCAATATTAAAATATGCGTACTTAACCGCGACATCTAGCATTTGTAAAGTTTATTAATCAAATAGAGGTTAAGTGTCCACGTCCGTCACTGTGATTCCTCACAGATTATTTGTATTGACCCTTCATGAATTTATGATTTATTCAGGATATAAACACCCAGCCTAAAATTATACGAAAATTGAAACACCAATCGGACCCTTAACTCTGAAATTAATCTCAGAGAGTATTGGGATTAAATGCGCAGGAATTGCTTTAGCTTGTAGAAAAAAACTGCAATACACACCACCCACGTATACTCCAGCGGTTTGTGCAACGCCTGTACTATAGTACTGTACTCTAACTGCAAGTGAAACTCCTATCTTAACCCCTAGACAGTGATTAGTCGCTACTCGAGATTGTAAGCAGAAAGAGATTTGAGGGACTCAACATGAGAATCTCTTAGTGAATACAAGAATGACTACATGTATGTAAAACGACGATACGATTCCAGCGACTCTTACCATTGGATTTTTTTTAGATCGCCATCATGGAGTCCATGCCGTTTATTCTTCCTTCAAGTAAACCTTACTTCGAAGTAGTTGTATGATCGCGTTATATACATGTACTGAAACTGTACAGAGTACCGCAGTACGTGATTATGCAGCCGACTCACTTTTATTTATGAATTAGATGTACGAAACGAGTGCGTTAAAATGATATTAAACTCTGGTACATGTAGATGCAATAAGTGCACATGGCCTTATACTGAAAGTACTCCCGTGTAGACATACATGATAGGCGAAAGCCTCAGCGAAATTGTGTGCCTGGGAGCTCCGGTCTTCTTGATTTCATACCAACACCTTCTCATAACGCGTAGCCAGAGATTCAGACACATGCTTACCTGAAAGTGCTCTATAGAACATTGGTATATGTTAGATAAAACCTCGAATTTGCTCGGTCTACCTACCGGAGTGTCCTCTTCAGTACTTCCTCTGTCCGGAAAAATAGGGCCACATTAATTCAACAAATTCGAACTTAAGATCGTTAGATGATTGGTGATCAAAACCTTTTAACCGGCTTTATGTCGGTAGACATCCAACTCTGGTAAAACAGCGGCTCAAAGGTGATAAATGACTACTTTTACCACTTCCCCCATAGGTACGATTAATTTGACGTAAGTACGTAATAATTAATAAGTGGGACCGGCCCTTTATTCCAACTTAATTTTTTTTTGGAAAAGACAGTCCAACAATTCAGCAAGAACGCCATAATAAGGACGGGGTCATAGACCCAAACGTGTCTTTTATTTACTCAAATAAAGACAAAGCGGCACCCAGTGGTTGTGTTTACTAAAACTGATGATAATTCAGGTAATAACACGAAAAGAACCAATCAAATTCCGATATTTGTTGGGACCGATTTAATACTGGATATAGCTTTTCATATAGACAGCCCTCATCGGAAAAATTAAACGGTACCCCGTAAGCCGTTGCTCAATCGCTCTACACTTAGCTAACACCAAAATGTTAGCTGAGGGCTGAACAAAAGTTCGACTCAAGAGAAATTATCCTACCAGCAAGCACATGCCATGAGTCTAAAGAAGAAGCGCAACTTCTCTGTCGCGCCTAAAAACACTTTAGCTCGAAAGCAATACATGTACCAATATTGTGGAAATTGTTTGTTATTGCATTTATGTTGATCTTTGGACCCAGCTTTACAGCTACATATTGAATCTCTTTTGAAGCATCCGAGCTAGCCATTGATACTCGAAGACTAGCTCAAACTATGTCGACTCGCGCGGGCTCACCGCACGAGCAATACGGTGTGAAGAGGGAAACAGCTAAATTAATCCGCAATGCGACATATTTTGCCACTGATTCGGTGCGATTCAGTGTCCTGTAGCAGAAAAGTTATGTTTATTTTGAAGAAATATCTGACTTTCTGGTCTCAAGCCTTCCCTCGATTACGAATACTTGTGATTACGATTTTGCTTTAATAACCGACACCCGTCAGTTTGCAATGAACAGCGAAGGGATCTATACGGATTGTGAACGGCGTCATACTTAATTTTTAATATTTTCTGAACCACCTGTCCGTGTTACATGTAATGACATATGCTCCAATTTACACAAATCTAGAATTCAGTTGCATCAACCTCAGTGCCAAACACGCTACGACAAAGCTCACTTCCAAATTTGCGCCGCAAAACGCATATACCGGTACAGACCATGCGCGTACTGTTAATTATCGCCGCCCTTATTCATGCCGTGTCTGGCAATTTACCTATGCAAGACGGTGACATCTTGCAGGCCAATTTGAAATTGGAACGTCTGCCTCAGGAACTCGTTGCTGACAACCAGAATATCAACCGATCCCTTCGCCAACATGAGGAGGATGAAATCGAGCATCCGCGTGAAGAAAGAGGTGGACTCGAGAAGATGGACGATTTGATAACAAAAGTGGACGACGCTGTGGGGATGACGGGGAAGATAGACGATATAGTGGGGAAGACGAACAAGATGGACGACGTGTTGGTAAAGGTGGAGAAGCTAACACCGGCAATGCGGTTGAAAAATGTGGTGGAGGCGGCCAGAGAGCGCTCAGGACTTGTGACGAAGCTCTCCCAGCACTACAAAGAGGCCGACGAACTGAGCCTCACAACGCTGAGACAGTTACAAAAAGTCGAAGATCAAATGGAGAATGATGGGGCGTTGTATAGCAAGTTGACTGGTGAAGGAATGCGCAGGAAGATTGAGCCCTTTGAGGGAATGAAACTCCCTCCGAAGTAATACTTGGCATCCCATATTGGACGTGAGAAGCAGAAGTATGACGACGCCGGTAATAGGATGCTGTCAGCGGCCGTGGTATGGGAAGGTGATAATGGCGTCCTTATTTCAAGCTCGAAGAAACCACGTGAGTGGCTCATTCCTAAGGGAGGCTGGGACGAGGGCGAGAGTATTCAGAAAGCAGCTTGCGCGAGGTGATTGAAGAAGCAGGGGTACGCTGTGCGTGTTTATCGTTACGGGCCATTTGATTACTAACTGGTTGCTGTAGGTTCATGCACGACTGAATCACGATCTAGGTTCTGTCATTGTCGGTAGCGGCAAAAAAGGACAAAATATTCAAGCCTTTTCGATGACTGGGCCGAAAGCGGGCGCGGAAGAATTGCCGTAAGTCCATTATAGTGAGCTGAATGGCAATCTAGAGAATTTGACATTATGTGCAAACCCCATGTAGATTCCAACAAAGGACGTGAAATTTTTGCTCAAAGAACGTCCTTGGATGCTCGACGTTCTTCTTACGCCGGGAGGAGGAGAATAAACTTGTCAAGGCTAAGGGACTGACTGAGAGAGATCCCGCCCTGCAAGGTTCGAGCTTGACATGGCTCCTTGAAAAGGGGCCTTGATAAAAAAAGCATCTCAGCACGTATTCTCACATTTTATACTACAGTAGAACTTTGTCAGCCTGCGTGTTTGTGGTCCTACAGCGTTTCCGCAATACGGCGTTAATACAAATAGAGCTTGGTTAACAGCAAAACATACCTACCGCTAAAGTCGTAATGATGGAGCACCCATTGAAACTTATAAATCTTTCATTTCCTCCGTTCGCTTAAATTAGGAGCATTTCAGAATCATGGTCAGGCTATTTCCCATAGTAAAAATGCCTCCGTCTGGATTGGTCCATTCAAACACTTGAATTATGGGCATTCCAATCCGTACGTACCCATTTCTCCACAAATGATCGTAAGGATGGCCCCCAGAAGGTCATAGTGTCAGCCACCCCCATCAATTTCGACCCGCCACCTGTAGCTACGGCACCCGAAGTCTGCACAAGAGCAGTGTATGTGCCTTGGCTTGTGCTCCATCTTATTGCAGCTTTAAAAGGCCCGCATAAAAGGAGAATGGTGTCATGCAGACATGGTGCTGGCTGAAGATTCATTGCCAGTAAATATGCATCTATCGCCAGGATCTGAAAGGGTGGTGACTTAAAAAATAGCCTATTAGCCACTGCAATGGGATCTCAATCAAATCACCCGTGATCGGATATGTATTTGGCCAATATGCTGTGATATTTGTCGAAATGTCTCTAATGTTAGTGAACAGAGGGAGTATGCAGTTCAAAATGTAACATTCCTGCAATATTGTCGGTGGTCCTTCTTTAATTGTCCCTGTTGTATTAAATACTGAATTTTAATTTGAAAATTTACAGTTTTTGCCTTATTTAATTAGAGCATCTCCTACGGTAGTGCAAAAAAGAAAAGTGATAGGACACAGTGAATAGCTTGTCTGTGACGGGGTCACACAGCACCTTGCGCTAGAGGAAGTTATCTTCCGAGAGTATACAAACTCTCAGTGAACGGCAGTTCACAGGTCCCCTCTTTAATTAAAGAGAGCGAAGTGACCTAAATAAGGTAGATTGTAAACTGAGTATATTTATAGGTAGGTTAAGTTTGGGTTTAATACAAGCTATTAGTTACCTATAGAAATGCAATGTCATTTAACCAATGGTTGGCTTTGAACGACCTTGGTACCTTGTACCAAATATCCCAGAGTATGACGTGTCATACTCCTGAAGTGTGAAGTGTCACACTTCATGTGGCCAGGGTACACTTAGGGCTACGTACCCCGTTACATCCTCCCCCACTTAGGTTCGGCTTACCGACCAATCAGAATGAAGAGGTCTTCGTCACAAACTCTCATTCTCAAAGTCGAAAACCATCGACTTGGCCCGCGCGAGCGCGGCGGAGGCTCACTTCACAGTTAGAGCCTCGAGCAGCAACCTGTGCGCTCTTCGTCTAGGTCTCCACTTCGACCGTTATCATGCCTCGTGGCACTGCAAAGAGCGGTGCTAAGACACGCTCCAAGGCTGCTGTCGGTAAGGCGCAAGCCAAGAGCACTAAGCCTCACGGCAAAGGCTCTGCACTCAAGGAGGCTACTCAGGTGGCCTCCGAGGCGATCGGTTCCTCGGGCGACACGGATGTGGACAAGCGCGCAAGCAAGCGCCGCAGCCCGTCGCCCTCATCTTCAGACAATCGTCCGAACCCTTGGTTCGTGGAACATGAGTTCAACTCGGGCAGTGAGGACGATGCCGAGTCCGAGAGCACTCACGATGCTCCTGCGGACTCTGTGGGAGGGCACAGCCCAGTGCCCAGTGAACACAAAGATGACAGCGTGCAGTCGCTCGCTAGTGATCAAGGTGATCACAGTCCTAGGACCTCTGTGCGCTCTGAGAGTCCGGCCGTCAAGGCTAAGGACGCTCTCAAAGCTGGTGGCGATGAGGAAGAGAATCCTCGCAAACGTCTATCGCTTGCCGAGGGTCTTGCGCGTACTAAGGCCTCTAAAGCCGAAGGCGCCAAGCCCTCAAAGAAGCGTACTGCCTCTAAGTCTCCACTACGCGAGGAGAAGGAGACTCGTCGCTCCTATCGGAGTATCTTCGGCTCCTCGGATGAAGAGGAGGAGAAGGAGGAAGAAGAGGAAGAGGAGGGTGCTATCGTTGAGCCCCGGGAGGTCTCGAATGACCTCGACCAGCAGCAGGAGGAATTCCAAGCTGCCCAGCGTGTGTGGGGGGGCTCGGTGGCGGCACCCGTCACCCAGGGAGCTGCCATCAACTCAAGAGGGTATTGGCCTCCCGAGGAGAGCTCTGGGGCTGACCTCTTCTTAGAGGTCCTCGTCGCTCCTCGTGGCCTTGTGGGCGGCCACACTTCTAGGGGCATCTATGAACGAGCCCTTGTTCAGAAAGAACAGTTGTTCGTCGACAACTTGGAGGCGGCTCGGTGTGTGCTTCTCGCGCAACACCGCTTTCCCCTTAAGGACTTCACGACTTGTCGTAAGAAGCCCGAGACCCGGGGTGGTCTCTATCCTGTTTGGGGATACCCCTGGGTTATGCCCAAGAACTGTCCCACGTGGAGTTCTTATGAGGACATGTTCTGGGCGTGGGTGGAGACTCTCAAGTACTTACCCACGGAGTTACGGGAACTCCATGAAGATCAGCAGCTGTCCCACATCCTGGACCAGCGTGATCTTCGTGTGAGGTTTACCCACTTGATCAGCAAGCGTATGCTGCCAAGGGACATCTTGAAGCGCGCGGCCTCTAGCGCTCACGATGAGCGCGGGTACGGTATGTATTCATCGTCCGTACCCCGTTCGGGCAAGAAGCCCCGGACTACTTATGAAGCTGCCGCCGTTTCTGTTCCCAGATTGCGACAGCCTTCGGGCAGTCAATCAGGAGCCGTTCAATCGGCTCCCACGAGTTCTCGGAGTGGGCATAACCCCTCCACCTCACGAGGAGCTGTCGCTTACCGCAACACCGTTGCTCCTGGAGGATCCGCTCCACGTGGAAGTGGACTTCTCCATTCCGGTCAAGCAGGGGCGGAGGTGCCCTCGTACGAGTACGAGTACTCGGCGCCTCCCGAGAGCCACTCTCGTCCGAGTGCTCCGACTGCGGGTCCGACACAGGACCCTGAGTTTGACCGCCTTCGTCAACGTGTCCTCGTGCTTGAGATTGGACTTGGCCTTGGGACTGGCGGTGATGCTGCCGCCCAGGCCGGGAATCAGGGCGAGCTCGCTCGTCTTGCGGGCTGCCTGGACCTGGTGGAGCGAGAGGTCGCGAGCCTGCACCTGCGGGTGGATCGCCGGGCCTCTTCGTCCGATCTGGCCGAGGCCTTTAGCATGATCCGACGGATCGAGACTTTGTTGCCACGTCCGAAGCCGCCTGCGGCACACTCCCAGACGTACGCGTATGGTGCGTACCCGGCGTACTCAGCGTACTCGGCGTATGGCGCCGGGGTCCGTTCGTACGGAGCCCCTCCGGCGTACGCTCTTGACCGCAGCCTTGCCGTCTCGACCGAGGCTTGAATGCCTGCTCCGACGCCCTCGTCGACGACTGTGACCGGCCCTTGCTTCGAGGAGCTGGGTCAAGGGACTGCGAGTCAGCAACCCCCTGCGGGTCAAAGTACCGCTTAAGACGTCCGACATAGAACGTCGGGTGCGTCGTCATTGACTTCGGAAGGTCGATGGTGTACGACGCACCATGTCTGGCCAGGACTGCAAAAGGTCCGATGAAGCGGTGCTTCAGTTTGTTGCTGCCGACAGAGCTAACAGTGTCTAGAGGTAGGTTCCTCGTGTCTAACAACACTAAGTCCCCAACCTCAAATATACTTAAGTTTCCTCTTCCTTGTTTGTCTGAGTACTCCTTTTGTTTATCTTGGGCCGCTGCCATGGCATCGCGGACCCTGCTGACAATGTTCAGCTTGGTATCCATAAAGGATTTCACCTGTTTCCGCAGCGAAACTGGTCTCACATCCGAAACCTGGGAGGAAAGGGCTTTCCGAGCCTCTCCCCCACTTATGATAGAGGTGTCAGTGTCTCCTCGAAGAGTGAGAGGCACTCTGGGGTGGCGGAAGCCGTTCAAGTAGAACGGCGTGAACCCCGTGGACGCATGCACCGCGTAGTTGAGCGCAAACTCAACAACTGGGAGCTGCGTCGACCACGTACGTGGTGCTGCCGCGCACACACTGCGCAGCGTGTCCTCGAGCACTCAATTGACGCGCTCTGTTTGGCCGTCTGTCTGCGGATGATCCGCAGTGGACATCTGCAGACGAGTTCCCAGTAAAGGGAACAGCGTTTTCCAAAACGCAGCAGTGAACCGCGGGTCTCGATCCGAGACAATCGTCTCTGGGAGACCGTGATAGCGGAACACGTCATCGACGAACAACCTTGCCGGTTTGTTCGCCCGTCACAGTGACGAGAACTGGAGCAAGATGTACCATCTTGCTCAGCCGACACACGAA